CCACGCATCTCATGTCTTGCAAAGGCGAATGAATGGTTAATTAAACTGGGCGTAACAATATAAAAACATAAAAAAGCGATTTAATCCAAAAATTAATTTGTTTAGCAATGGTTTTGTATATGTTTCTCGTATCAGCTCGAGTCACATTTTTGCACGAACTGCATAAAAGGCGGAAACGTGACTGTGCAATCAGTAATTGCGACATTTCCTCAACTTTATTAATTTTTATATTTTATTGGCACCATTCAACTAAATCTACTTCTACTTCTGTAGTATTTCTAAATAGATTTTTGGTTGCTTTAGCGTCTCTTGCTCTTGACTACATACAAATAAGGCAAGAGATGAGAACATGATCACATGAATAAGAACATCTTAACTAACACACAACATAATGACGGACACCAGAAAGACGAAGTCTCATTTCCAGGCATTTTGAGCAACACTTCACTAACTTTCAGTTTTTGCCGTTAGGCTTTTTTCACAAATATATTCACATACACTACTCACAAGTTCATAATAATATGAAAAATTGCAAACCCTACGTTATACTTCATGAAATCAGGAAATAATTGACTCTTCGGTCAATACAATTTAGTGGCACACATTGAAGAAATATGTTCATAAATGTCAGTTGAACTTGAATTACAATTTTAAAAAGTGTCACATTGGCGTTGAAATGGTAAGCAAAGCGCAATATAGCTCAAATTTTCAGAACGCGAGGGTGTTCTGTAGCTAAATATTGAAAAATCATGTCATTGGCGCCCAGTTAAAAGTAGCGAACGTCATTGAAAGGCCATCTTTGATAGGTATTGGGTTCGACGCTCCTTCTTGCGTTCACCCCATGGTGTCACCTTTTGGCAGTACATAACCTGCAAATTACGCCTGGTAACGTTAAGGCGGAAATATGCTTCATCACAAAAGATGATTTGGCAGAAAAGTACCTCGTAAAGTTAAGTTTTTTAAGGAATTTCTGTGTGAACTAGTCGATTGATATCACTTGTGCATGGAAAATCATAGGTCCAATCTCTTCCTGAGCCGAATTGAATTATTATCAACTCGACGCGGATAGTTGGACTCTAATCTGGACCTCTTGGTGGCCAGTTGATTTCGCATCTCTTGTTGATACTTGTTTCTCTTCTACCTTCTAATGCGGTATTTGATGTAGCTCCATCTTACTGTGGAATCATTAATTTTGGGAGGAAAAGAGCCACAAAATTATTATAACGTATGTGTATGTGTCTATTTTTATCTTCAAAAAGGTGCAGTTGGGGAATATTCCTTCCTGCTAGCCAACTTGACGTTTCCCCAATCTATTTTCGTGTAACCAGTAATGAGTATTTTCCTTGGTGACGTAACTCTACACTATACAGATGATTTAATTAAAAAAAAAAGCACGATGTTACAAATCAAACCGTTCAATGATGACTTATGCAAATTCTGACATGAAATGCGCATTGCCAAAAGACAAGTTGATCTCAACAGATTTTCAAGCTATAGATTAAACAAAAGTGAACATTCTCTGAGACACCTTGTACAAGCGCCATTTAACACAAAAGATGTGCTTAATGTGTTATTCATGTGCATCTGTAAATTGTAATTTACCTTTGATCTTTTTTCAACCTATTTTCGCGAAGTTATCTCAGTTTTTGATTTAAGGAGTTGCTTGGAAACGGTTTGCTATTTTTCATTGGCGTCTGATTATTTCGAAACAAAAACTTACAAATCTTTGAAACTGTATTGTTAAGAGGGCGATTTGGCACACTGAGGGCATGATTTTCATAAAATTTGTAGGTCAATTTGCAAAAAAAATACAGTTATTTTTGTGCAGAATATGCCATCTACCCTTTTTCTATTGATTTCGCATCTAGCTCATGTAGGTACATCTAAATCCGCGAGAAGAACTCAAACTTCTATGTTTTTTTTATGTTTTAGATCTTCATTTCCTTTTCCTTTCTTTTGTTACTTTCAGTACTTGCTCTGGTCGTCGTCGCACATTTTAAAGAAAGGGATTGCGCCATTACTTTATCTCTTTTCGTCTTCGTTATTCAAATTAGTCCTGCAATTTTGCCGATACCGTAATACGGTGGTTTTTTTTTTAAATTTTGTTGAGGTTTGCAACTGTTTCCGGATCGAGGGGTATGGCAAGTGAGAGGTGGCGAGTTTAACGAAGGAAAATGTGTATTTCCACGAATGCCTTTTTAATATTTGTTGTCTGAGTTTTCCTAAGGCGGATATTTATCGCATTCATGTTAAAAATCACAGACATTTTACAGAAAAAATTTATGAGCTTAGTACCGCGATCTTGTAGGGCTCCATGTTTTTAACTGGCTGGTCAAACGGACGGTTCAGACATTTTCAGCGGGCCATTGTCGACTTTTAGGACTTTGTGCAATATTGAAAATATTCAAAAGGCGAGGAACAGAGTCTTTTGTTCTCACCCTCACGAGACAAGCGAGCACAGTGGGGGCGAGGGAGTCGAGTAGGTTACCACGCGCAAGGTTGAAAGGCCATCAATTTCCGCGGCAAACAGAATTTTTCCAACTTGGTGGAGACCCCCCACACTCCCCGGTCAAATTTTCTTCCACAAAATGTATATAGCCTTGACGACTCTCATGATTCCTTTTTATGAACAAACAATCATATTCTTTTCTTATAAGTATTGCGGAGAATGTAATGCCGGGAGGTCTGATGTACACATTAGTTCCGTAGCCATTTTCAGTAAAGCACTATGAGAGCACTGAGCTTGATAGGGAAAGGGCATCGAGATTTTCTTTGCTGGGCGGTTTTAAGCATCGTCCCTTTTAGTATAATTTTCCAACTCGTGACCGAATTTTACTTTTACTTTACGTTAGTTCTTTGCCATTTCCAGTAAAACACCCTATGAGAACACCGAGAGTTATAGGAGAAAGGTTCTCGAGATTTTTAACCATTTAACCATCGCCGCTTTGAGGAGTCTAATGACTTCTTTGTGTGAGCAAATGATCATATCCTCTTCTCCAAAGAGGTACTGTGAAGAATGTAATACCGGGGAGCCTGGGGGTATGCCATACACGTTAATTTTATTGCCATTTCCAGTAAAGCCACTTTTAGTATAATTTACTTTGTTGGGGGTATGTGTTGGCCCCCCAGACACCCCGGTAACACCATATTCTATAAAACGTGTAGCTTCGAAGAATCTAATGTTCCATAACTCGTGGTCGATTGTTACTTTGCTGGTGGTATTGTATTCCATACCCCCCATCAGATCCCTTAGTCAAATTGTCTTCCACAGAACATGTAGCTCATGGTACTCACCGTAATTTTAGCGAAAAAACAATCGAGCTTATCACCATGGTTTTGTAGAGGATGAAATACTCGCCTAGAATAAAAGATTCGATCAAGTATCCCGACGGGTAAGGGGGCGTATTTCGAAAAAAAACCTAACACGAGGAGTCTGAGGGGTATGAAATACTCCCCAGCAATACGTAATTTTTGTGCGTATGATTTCATATGATTGTAGGGAAAGGGTCATCTAAATTCGTTTATCCAAGTGGTGCTACCCTCCAATAAAAAAACGTTTAGCGTAGCATCACAATTTTGTACAGCATGGAGTACTTGCCAAGAAAGGAAGATTCTATGAAGTACCACGACAGTCTTCAGGGCTTAGCGTATTTCGAAAAAAAAACATAACACCGGAGACCGGGGGGGAGGGGGAATCCAACACCCGCCAAGGGGGGTTTGAAGGACCCCCTAGCATTACGTAATTTAGAACTCGCGAACTTGGGTTTTCTTATGTGCCATCAACGAGTATTTTCTGTAACAGCAAATTTTTTCCGTCATCTTTCACATGGAACTACTCCCAGAGCTGTAACGACAAAAATGCGCTACTATGGGGAGTGGGTACCTTAACTTGTTTTTCTTAAAACCATCTTTGACGTACTTAATTCTTCACGTTTTTGCCTGTGATAGTCCCGAGAACGTTCTTATAATACAGTAGGATCATTATTTATGTTGAGACAACGTAAAAATATGTGATAAGGTACACCAAGAATTTTTCGGTGTGTTGTTCATTGTTTGGAAATGTCGGTACCAGTTTTTCCCGTGTTCAATTTGAGGTGCACCAATCAGTCATCTTTTGTATCGCGTTATTGGGCATCAAAGTCGTTGATCAAATTTATTTTATTAATATCAATGTCATTTACAAACATTGCAAATAATATTAGAACCATTTTAGTTCCCCGAACTGTTCGATTATTGCAGATAAGAATGATTTACAATTTAGTGTGTCTACATGAAGGTCTGTTAACTTCCAGTTGAAAAGGACAATCATTTGTAGAGCAGTTCCAGTACGATTGTAATTCATGGTCTATTGAGTCTAAGACCGAAATAAATACCCATTGTCTATAATTGATTGCACAGAGCCTCGTTGTATGACTGATGGAGTCGAATAAGGTCGATCTTCATGTTTTTGAAAGTATTTTATTGTTCATTCTCAATTTCTGTTTACGTTACAGTCATGGAATGTCCGCGTTTATGTTTTCCTTGATGTTCTTTCTTTCTATTTTTTAACGAACTCTTACAACTAGGTCCGTTTAATTGACCACTTTCTCATGTGCTGTATGAATTACCATCCAGAAAACGGAACAGCAGTTATCGAATTTGAGTTTTTGGGATATGTGAATCTGTGGAATCAAAAAAAGACCCCATTTATTGGCTTCTTGGCCCTTTGCAAATTGTGAGTTCCGAGTAGGTGGAAATAAAAATCGTTTGGTATTTGACATGTTTGTTTTAATCGACCAAAAGATAAATATTCAATCGTATCTCGCAAAACGGCCTACGCCGTAACTTATAATACAAATAGGTTATTTAAAGTAATTAAGCTCAGACTTTTGATTACCTGTACGCCACTATCTGTGTTTATGAATTAGCTTGATAAGTTTCAATATTCAATGCACTTCTTTACATTAGACATTCCTAATAGTGGATAAGCGATTTGTTTATTTATTAATTGTTACTTCTAGGTGAATATGTGATAAAGACAGAAGTAGAACGGCCACTGTCTGTCGAAAGTGTTGAACCTACGTGCGACTTATCACTCGGTGACTTGTCGCTACCGCTGCCAGAATTTCTGTTGGAAGAAGCTCTTCAACTCGTTGGGTTGGATGACGAAGTACCTCAAGTAAGTTGAGAACTAGTGCAAACCTTTCTCTAATATCTCGTTTACAGGAAGGCGTTAATATTAGAAACATTTCGATATCTCCCGAAGCAAATTTTTTACCATCAACTCAAGAAGTCGATACCACCGGATCGTCTCTGGTTTCTTTACCAGAAGCTAGTCCGGCAGGACCTGTAGGCACCGATACAGATACCAACGCGGCATTAGAAAATTCGACGGCCAATTTAATCAAAGATCTTGAGACGGACGACGATTTCAATATCTTCTCCGAGATGATACAAACTCCCCAATTTCATCACTCGCACCACCGAGCCTTTCAGGTAAGAGCATTTGAAATTGAAGGTTAACACTATTGAAGAGGGGGGCATGGAACATTATTTAATCTGTTTCAAGCAGTTATAATCGCGTTATGTTTTCCGATTTTCGTGTGTTTTTTTAGTGCAAATTGGAATAGCGCGATGAATCGTTCGATTTTTCTTAAATATTTGAACGGTAAGATGTTTTATTCAAATCTCTCACCCTTCCAATTTTTCACAGTTCGTTTTTATTGCTATAGAATTCGACTTTGATCGATAATCTGATTAGGTACGCTACGACCTTACTTTTAATTACCTACGCGAAAATTTGCTAAGAACGGCTATTATTTTAAAAATTGAACCAAATTGCTTAAAAAGTATTCGATGGATGCTTCAACGATAAAGGCCTTGAATTCTCTTAATCTCTTCCTATTTGAACATCACGTAATATAGTAATCTGCTCAAAAACATATAATCATTATATAATTCCTTTGTATTTAAGTATTTGTACGTGTAATTAGAGTTTTTGTGGTAGCCTATTTCATTACTCCGTCTTATTGCCATTTTTTCACATTTACCACATTTTCGTACCCGTGCAGATTTGCGTAGGCACTTCTTTTTTAACAGTCCAAGTATGAAGCTATTTTGATTATGTAACATTGCCATTTCGATCGCATGAGAGTATTCCGGTTTTATAATTACATAAATGACAATCGTATCAAGGTTTCCAAATTACAACTTACAGTCAAAATAAACAAAAGTTAACCGTGTATTATTTCGCGTTAAGATTATCAATATTAACCCTTACTGGTGGTTGTGTCAAAATGTCTTTGCCTCATTTAAACATTTTGGGCTTTGAATTACGAGATGTAATTATGTGGCCGGAATTTTACTTGTACTTATTGGGTAAATTTTCTTGCTTAAGAAATACTTGTTCCGACGCGGAAAACAACTTATAATTAGAAAGCGACGCAGAAACGAATTTCAAAATTATAGGTAAAGCTCACCCACTTAGAAATAAGGGATCAATTTTCCACCCACTGTAAATTTTTCGATAAAAACCGACCTACAATTTTCCGATTTTTAATTAAAAATACTCCCATATGCGTTGCTTCACCATAGGTAACCAGAATCTCTAGTTCTAAACATCCAAAGTTCGTTATAAACCTCATCGATATTTGGTTGTTCAAAAGATGCACCATTTCGTCGTAAACGGTATGCCTAAAACGATACCTATGCAATGGGAGAAACCAAACTCGTGTCACAAAATTTTGAAGTCTCTTGTTTTGATTTTTTTCCATTTTGTTGGAAAAATGCCATCAACTATTTGTATGTATAGGCCGTTTCAAAGAAAAAAATGTTGTTCCCGATTATTTCCTCGCAACCAATTTGATTCTGTAGTTTTTGTCTTACATTGTTACAGTTTGCAATTACATCCATTTGAAATTTATCTCCTGTTTCGAATTGCTGTATTTAGTTTGCTATTTCTGCATTGGCGATTTAAGACTTTATTGCTCTCATAGTGCATGCAGTATCACTAACTGAGCATGTACTTCATGCCAGTATACAAGCACGCAAAAAATTGAGTAACGTAAGGAACAAAAAAAAGTTTTACAAAAGCAAAGAACCAAAAATATTTGTTGGAGAACCCAAAATTTGCATTTCCATTTTCCTTTGCTGGTAACGGATGTATCAAAGCGGATATGCGCTTCCTGACTTTGCCATAATTTTTTAGAAATTTGGAGCTTAAGAAGGCACTCAGGTACAGAGTGATGAAATACTCGAATTTCGACGATGTTTGGGGAACAACGAATTCAAACTTAGTGTGGGAACAACTACAATTTTGGGTTCGGCAATACAAAATCCTTAGATTTCAAATTATTCCGACGCTAATAAATTTATTGACGAGCGCACGTACGGCTTAAGACTTAATGATTTCGGCAAGATTTTTGTCAAAATAATGTGAGCACAGCAAATTTATATTTTTATTGCAGTTGAATTTTTTGTCGAAATTTGAATCCTCATTTGCTTGAACTACACGCTTCCAGCGGTGCCCCCACATCTTCGAACGCAGATTTTGGAATGAGCTTCAGGTCGCGCGTCTCATTATTCTAAATCGTCTCGATGCCGGCAAGTCGCTTTCATTTCAGCGCCATTTTCAATTTTGGGAACATCCTAAATTCGCAGGGACTGTACGGAGGCGGACGAAGCTGCACAATCTTGTGTCACAAGGTTCGATGAATGGTGGGTCCAGAGTCTGGAAAGTGTATTTCCAGGAGACATCTGAGAGCCTCCCCCTTGGTAGATGTACATCTGCCGCATGGAAGCCTTACTCTTTTTGCTCCGGGTCTTTCAAAAGGATCTTACGAAGTTTTCGAACTTCAGGAAACCCCCCATGTTACCACAGAAGGTCTTTATACTTGCTCTGAGCGATCTTAAAATCAACCCAGTCCGCAGGCAGCTTAGTTCGCCCTATTAAAAAGCCTGTTATGGCGTCCCTTACTAACGCGACCGCCTCACTTGTCCTGCTTTCCGACAAGGCAAAGGTGGTCTATCCAACTGCTTTGACACAAACAAAAAACGGTTTTTGAAATAAAATCCCGTTACGGCGTTCGTGTAAAGTTTGTCTTGTTGTGTCTCGTAGATAAACCCTACTGATTTTGAGTTCATTCTTCCTCACTTTTCGGGAAATTTCCAGAAAAATGACGAAAAACAATGGCTTGCTCTATTAAAAGCAAGTCTATTCCCTACGACAAACATGTCAAAAGCCCGACGCGTTGCGCGCATGTGCTGAATTAACTATCTTATTTTTGGTGCGATCTTTCTCATTTTGTAATAAAAGCAAACTAATCGCTTACGTCAAACATGTAGGGGAAGGGGGGCAGAATTTCAATTTGAATATCTTGAAAACGAAGTGTCGGTGCTCACAAAGGGAAATCCCGTATCCGTCACTGGGTTCCAAACTTCAAGTGTGAGTATCTCGAAAATGGAATGTCGGAAGAGGGTACTTGCAAAGGGAAAATGATAGATGCCGTCGAAACTCGTCTGTCGGTGGGGGCCAAAGCTTCAAGTGTGAATATCTCGAAAACAGCGTATCGGATAAAGGGTACTTATGTATTATGATACATGTCTGTAGCTAAGGTGTTCAGGTTGTCTCGTAGATAAACCTTATTAATTGTGTGCGGAAAAATATGTTTTAAGGTAAGCGAATAAAACATGGTGTACACGCTATAGATTTTTGTTTCTGCGTTAAACTAAGATGTTACAAGATAAGTAGAATTAAAATACAGACAAGAAATATTTTTTGGAGCAGCCTATATATTTATCCTGAACCATATTTATACATACAGTGCGAGTGTAAAGTCTGGAACTATCGCAATAAATCTTTTGGTAAACGTTTTTAAAAAAAATCCCGAACACGTCAATTTTTAGCTTAAATGTGACATATTTTTCTGTAATTGTTACTTAGGGATCGTCTTTTGTTTTTGGGACATGACGTAAACGTTAATTATCATAATTAATTATTAATGTTTAAGTGAATTGAAATCATCTGTCAAAAAATGGATTGCGCATGCGTAAAATTAGCTTCTTTATTTCACTTTCTGAAATTTAAATTGAAGATGCTTCTCACAAAAATGAATGGAAATGTATGCCCAGAGCTTTCTAGTTGTAGGCGGGAAAAAGATTGTTAATGTGGAAATGTGCTTTTTGTAAATCGTTTACGATTACTTTTCTGACTTTTTTGTCTTCTTTCGATAATTTTGCAACGACAGCATGAATGGTCAACAGGTACCAAACTCATTATTGGTGCGTAAATTTCGTTTGGGAAAATGTCCAAAGGTACAACCACAATTTTAATTGAAGTAGGATTCGAAAATAATGATGTTTTTTTCATATATATTTTTAGACATAGTCCCCGTTCCACTTAGTACAACGGGACGCTTTAGCCGTTTCTTCTTGGGCCCAAAAATGAATGAGAATCATTTTCATCCCAGAGTTGATCAATTTAGTATTTCGTCACCGCGTAAACTGACGCTTCGTTGCTGCAGTGTCTTCCCCTATGAAAATTAATGTTGTAATCCTTCGCCTCAAATCTGCTGCAAAAAATCCTCAATTGTTTTGGAAGTGCAATTTTTTCTTCAAGATTTCGTCAATCGCAACAAAAGGGCGTGCACTTTTTTGTTTATAATAAACAATCAACTCTGTCTTTTTTTTAAATTTAGCGACTCACCTCTTTACTTTTATATTGGAAGTGGAGACAAACAAAAACTAAATGTTGCACGTACACCTCATTCTATTTTTTCCGAATCGAATTATCCGTACAATGTTGCCGATGTTGCTACTACGATTGCTTTCGGATTAAAAAAAAAGGTAGCCTCAATCCCAAATCACTACTAAAACAACTTCCAAAGGCCTATATTAAAAATGTGCTAAAAATGGTATAAGTGGTGGCGTATTTTATGTTTGCGACATTGATTAACATTTTCTTTTTTAATAAGCGGGCCGGGGGGCAATAAATGGGATGCTTTTAATTTTTAATTTTTTTAAATAAAAGAAATTGTAAATTGACAATATCATTCCGCGCTAATTTGTATATCCACATATTATCGGTCCCGGTTTGTTTATTGCCTAGTCACTAATGATTCAACTTTTTCGTATCGTTTTCACTTAATAAATATGCAATAAATATAAAGCTGATACAAAGTGCATATTGCTACTATATTGTCATTTTTTTTAATGAAATTGCGAAAGTAATTTTATTTGATCTAATTTTTCGTAGATCTAAGTTCTAAATTAATGCAGATTTTCATGTAAGGCTGATCATTTTTTGTTTATATCAACAATAATTTGTTGCACGCCCGTCAAATTATTGATTATATTTTAATTAATGTCGAATTCTGTTTGGTCCCTAATTCGCACGTAATGAATATATGTTGGCCCCCCTGAGAATAAATGACATACGCGAAGTTGCACATGGTGTAACATATGGCAACCACGTTTATAAAAATAAAAAATTCCCTAACGCAATACAAATAATAAATATTGTTAATCGAGGCGGTCTATAGCGAATTAAATTTCGGCACCCTGAAAATACAATTTTGGTCAAAAGTAGCTTTTTATGGTGACAAATGACTTTTGGGTGATTCCCATTGTAATCTGTAGGGTTTTGTTGTCATGTTGTCATTGTATTTTCAACCTGTAAATATTTTACCTGCACCTCGACCACTTTTACCACAATACAAAATTATGAAATTTTCACACAGGTGTAAAGAAATTCTTTTAAAGAAAATAATTAAAACCCTTTCTTAATTCCTGTAGGAAAACATTGCGGGTGACAGAATTGACAAATAATAAATTTTACTCGCATAGGAATCTACATTTTTGATTCACGGTCAGCGGTCAATATTTATTCAGGTTTGGATTGCACTTGAGAATATTTACTTAGTTTAAGCTATTCACGAGTTTGATTCTTATTGAGCGATTAGTAGAAAAAACTTGAATGAATTTTAAATTGTTTCGAGGAATTTGGGCTTCAAATGTAATCTTTTTTATAGAGCCGTATGCCAATTGTTCGCGCAGTGAGCATGGAACAAAGATGGCAGGACTTGGCTAGTTTGCTAAGTTTACAAAATGCCAGCGAAGCTACCGCAATGCCGCATCCTTTTAGCCACCATCCCTTGCACAACTACAGTCATCCGCACTCTCATAGTATGGGTTATGGACCAGACGCGCGTGGAGTTCTCCTCCACAATGCCACTTTAACACCACCTATGGGTGATTTAAATGCTAGTGCACCTTACAGCAATATGGGTTAGTACGCGTCTTGCATTTAAAAGTTTCCCATTTAACAGATACTTTAGGTGGCACGAATTTGGGAAACGCAGTTGCTACGTCCATGAACCTCACTAACAGTAGCGAACCCATGGATGGACCTAATCCGGGAACGCATTACAAAATTGAACCCACGCACGATATGATGTACTATCAGGTAATTTGATCATCCGCTATTATCTTTCCGCTTCTCACGGATCGATTTGTTCACAGAACGGTTCATCTGAGATGAATCAAAACGACGGTTTCTTATCGTCCATTTTGAACGATGAAGACTTGCAACTGATGGATATGGCAATGAATGAGGGTAAGTTGACGTGATTATCGCAAATGAAATTGGCGGTTATCAGTATTGCTTAGATCTAAAATTGCACTCTGTACTATAAAGTACATAAAAAAATGTAGGAATTTTACAAAATGTGCCTAATCGGGAAAAAATCGTTAAAGTGTAATTTAATGCAACAGTGTATGCACTTTACGTGTTGTGGGTACAAATCAAACATTGTGACAAAATTTAAATCGCGTTTCCCTCGGATTTCAGTAGGTCAGTATTTTTTTTGTCTAAATTTGTTCCGCATGCGGCCTCCCTAAATTAAAAATAATTTAATATGTCCCATTACATAATGTCGAAGTATAAATATACGATATGGTTTTGTGTGAGTAGGTTGGACACAAGTCTGTTGTTTACCTGTATTTATATTTACTTAACTTGAAAAGTGCTGTGTCATGGGTTATATGTGTAACTTGACAAATCTAATAGTAAGCACGTGTTGCGTTAACTTCTTCGCGATTTTCATGCAAGGTAGCGATGCGACTTTTTTTGAAATTAGTCAAGTGCACTGTACCTTTACCGTCATGGTACGGCTTGATTAGTAAATTTACTCTAAAGTTCTTCAACTGGAATGCAATAATCAGTTGGCTTTCGCTATAAAATAAATATCCAATGAACCAATGTCGTTATTATTCTGTGGCACGTGAGTGATAACGTCTCAAGGTAAATGCATTCTACTAACAAACACATCAGCTCAGTTGCGATTATGTAACATTTTCCGGGCTGTTTTGGGCCGCTTCATGATTATTTGAGAATCCCATATTTTCGAAACGCGACAATTATTTCTCGCTGTTTTCTGCAATTTGATTTACAAAGTTTAGCACGCTGAAATAACAGAGATGAGGAGGGGGAGGTTTTGTAGATTACAAACTATGCATTAGACCGACCAAAGATAAGTGTAGGATTATCTTTGGATCGGACTGTGGTTTCTTTAACCCTGGCGATGAACCTCAAACTTACACATTGAAACGTTAGTATACAACACGCGCTTGACAGTATAATTTCATGAAATAACTATCCCTATCGTCTGTTTCACCTGTTTCAGCTTCTTCGGTGACTAAAATCCGCATTGATTCTTTTGCATCTTCATCCTTTTCAAAAGTAATGGCTGTTGGATACATTTTAGCCGTTTTAAGTACTAGTGATGCAATTGATAAGCATCTCCTGGTACTCTACTTAATAGGGGAACAGCCCTCTATACGTTTTTGTCAGTTGATTTCCCACCTTGTTGGTAAACTACCTAGCCGGACCACTGATGAAATGTATCTTTCAAAAATTAATGTGTTTACCAGTTAACTAAGAGCTTTTACTTACAAGCAATTGCAATTTTTTGGGGCTCACACTAAAAAGGGTGACTAGCTGCAGTGGCCTAAGGCCAACAACACCCTAAGCCCCAAACAATTTGTTAATAGTCAATCAAATAACTTTTACCAATTTTAAGGCAAAATAATAACATTTGAAAATTAAGGTAATTCAAATCTTCGCTCACAATCGCTAATAGCACCCCGTTGTTCTGCTGATTTTGATGGTCGACTCATGTCACATACCATACTCGAACTTTTCTCCTTTTAAAACACATGGAGAAAAATTCCGGTACTCACGATTCAGACACAGTACGTGACGCAGGGTTTCCCAAAAGTCTTCAGACGGAGCTATGAGTTCTGAGTGCAGCAAAAGTTTTGGGATCAATATAGGGCCAACCTTAAAATTTTTAAATTGCAACCCCTGTCGAGTTTCACCTTATTTTAAAGGCAAGTAATTAAAAAAGAAACACATTCCAGATTTTACACCACTCGATTTCTCTTTTGGGGGTTTTCTAAATACGACAATAAATTTTTTGCGAAATATTTGAAGAAACCACTAATATCACTAGGAGTATGCTCCAAAGGGTTCAAAATTCCATTTATGGACGTTTGGGTCATTGTGAAATCAAGGAAGATCAACAATTAGAAAAATTATTATAAAAATTGTAATAAACGTGTTGCTTTCTCATTTTTCTTTTTAACGCAGTTTCCAAATGGAAAATGAACGCTATTGTTCACACTTTGTCCGTCTACTAGTCCTCCAATGAAGCTTTTTCGTTGTGGAGTCTTTCTTGTACAGTGTAGCACAGCCATCAGACCAGAACCAAAAAAGATTTTTGGGATTAGTCACTTCCTTCCCAAGTTATTACGATTCTGTACGGTGAAAAAGCGCTTTCGTCGGTCGCGAGTGACCATGTCTTTACTAGTTTTAAATACCTTAAACCCGTAACTACTACTGACAATATAAAATTACCTACTCAACAGCTATTCATGGGTCAACATGACTCAGGTTTTATTTGTAAGGAAATATATGACTAAAATAAAAATGTTGTGTCTAATTATTGACATTACTTTAGAATTTGTTTTCCGGTTTTTTGACCAAGGGCATATAGCTCATATTTTCGTTTCGAAGATTGTCCATCTGCTACAGGCGTTGTTGATACTGGAATTTCAACTTTAAAGCTTCTTTGCAGTTGAGATCAAGAATTTTTGCAATGTACTCAGTCATTGAAATATCTCCTTTCTTCCAGAAATTCAAGCTGATTCATTCAAGTGAAATCCCGGTGCAAGCCAGGCAGGGTTATACAAGTCTTTTCTGCCATTTTATAGCGTCCTATGCAGTCAATATGTTTGTCACTTACCGAAAGTAAGATCAGTGACAAGGTTATGGCGTTCTTCTTCTTCTCCCCTGCGCTGAAACATTCAATGAAATCTTTACAGCAGTCTCTCCGATCCACGATCACCCTGGCCTTAACATGCATTATTTTCTACTTTTAACGCCATGTTTAAGGGAGTAAGAAAGAGAAGAAAGTAAGCTTTCTAATGACGTAGCACATGACCTATGTTGCCATTAAAAAAATTCAAGATGGCGGTCGCACTCGAAAACCATGTGTCAACAAAACTTTCAGGTTCATATCTCAAACGTGAGAGCTTTGGTTCCAGCTTTAACAGCGACCCTGTATATTAAAACGTATGTACAATTGTACAACTACTTGAAGTAATAGTAATAGGAAACAGAGTTTTAAAAATATGAGGAATTCTCCATTCCTGGAAAATTATCCATCCGGCAAATTGGGGGTTGTCTATGATCACAGTTGAGATAATTTCCAATAGATAATCCCTCAACCCTTCCACAGCTCAAGCAAGGCTAGGCATAAAACAAAAAATAAAAGTGTATTTCTAAGTATCCATGTGCTATATGAAGCGTGGCGACTATAGTGCATTTACCAATTGCTACTTTTGTTTCTTCAACAAAATACTCACTTTGCTATAGCGGCCACGTACACGCCCTGTTTGAACAACTTATTTTGAGACGGTATTGGCACTGGTAAAAATGTACCCACGGTTGAAGTGAAATTGTAATTCATAATAAGTGCTTTCCCAGTTCTTGCATGTGAGGATACTAAATCATTCATCTTTTACAGGTATGTACACCATGCGCATGTTAGACAGCAACAACGCATTGAGCAACTTATCTATAAGTGGAGCTCACAATTCGACTATGTCACAAGCCGAAGTTGAACGTATTGATACATCAAGTGATAGTGCGGTTAGCTCAATGGGATCAGAACGAGTGCCTTCGCTATCTGATGGCGAATGGTGTGACGCCGGTTCTGATTCCGGCCATACGACTGGAGATCCTTATGTTGTGGATTATCACTCGACGTAAGTAACATTAATTTTAGATTTGGTAGCTTCATTATAATGTTTTAGCTCGAAATATAGACCATACGATTACAGTTATGCTAGCCGTCAACACAGTAGCGCATTAGGAGGATCCGAAACGGTTCGAATGCCACAGGTTGCTCAGAAAAAGCACCAAATGTTTGGAAAGCGTTGCTTTCAAGTAAGTTTTTTTTTCGCCACCGATTGTAATTAATCTACAATATTTTCACTTTAGGAACAAAATGTACCGGTCATCATTGGTCACCCGACAAACCCCAAGTATTTCCATGACACTCCAACATCTTCGTTTAGTGCGCCGTCCCAAAGCGAAGGTGCGGTTGGCTCCAAAATTCCCGAAATGAAGTATTCGTGCAGTATGGAGCTGAGTCGACATAATTCGATTGGAAGAAGTCCGATCTCTCACATTCAGCACAACCACACATATCACCTTCCTGTTGAAAACACGGGTGCTATGCAAAGGCCAGTTTCGCGCGATAAGACAAAATCGCGCAAGTCGGAAGATGAGCACTTGAGTCGCGATGAAAAAAGAGCGCGTGCTCTTAACGTGCCTATTAGCGTTAATGATATAATTAATCTTCCGATGGATGAGTTTAATGAGAGACTTTCTAAGTACGACTTAAGTGAAACTCAATTGAGTCTAATTCGTGACATCCGACGACGTGGAAAAAATAAGGTAAGGATTTTTCTTAGCGATATGCTGTGCGCAGTAGTGTAGGATATCCAAACAAAGAGCCATGCCCGTGACTTTCCTGAAAATACTGTCAGATAATTTAGAATTGGTTGTTCCCAAATTCTGTTGACTCAAATCATATATCTCAACAAAATAATCACCCATGTCAATTAGCACAAAGATAATAACTTGCCGACCCATGTGGCGCAGTTCAGTTAAAGCTGGACTGTGGTGCTAAGGGTCCCTAGTTCGAATCCGGGTTCGGGCATGGATATTTGTAAATATATAGTGGGTTGGGTTGGTAGAGCAGCCTTGGCTGAAACCCCGCCCACTCAAAAATAAAGGCAAAATAAAATAAAATAAAAACTACACTGGATGGATACCACTTGTATAAATTCTATTCGCTCAATTTTCTCCACAGAATAAGTGGACTCTTTTCACAGAGTGTTTTTAAGGCAATAGTATCGATTATTTACTGTATTACAGGCATGGTGTTCTGTGTTTTTCTTTTGTGTAGACGTATTCTGTGACTGTTCTTTCTCTCCTGTAATTTCAATTTAGTCCGAGATATGTATCAGTGTCATAAGGGTACAATTTTTTCAATGAAAGAGAGATTTAGGAACTCTTCATAGTGGTGTACTGGATTCTTTAGAAGATGGCTTCTAAGATGTCCTCTTAGACCACTTGCAGATATTGTAGAGCTTAATATCTGACATTATTACTAATGGAAAAGAGTTTATATGAAGCTAGACAGGGAAGTATACTGTGTTTTGAAAAAAAAACAGCTTACAGGAGGTTTGAAGAGGTTGAAAAATTGAGAACATTTTCTAAAATAAATGCAAGTAGAAACCAATTCATTTCGATGATACCTTTAATTAGAATATGTGTTCACCCTCCGCCCCGCAACCCCTTTTTCAAAAGTTTTTCTTGACACCACTTAATTCTTGAAAAAGTGCGCTAAAAATAAATGTAGTAACCGATCAAATGAACTTACCTGAAATTCGATCGGAATTATACGAGGCGTCTGGTCCGAATATATTTATTTATCACCTCGAACCCACTAGAAGTTTAGAGTTTATTTAAACACACTGTTTTGTTGACAACGCGGGCGGTATGGGGAGGGAGGATGGAAATGATATATTCAGACCGGATGCCTCATATAATTCCTAATAGTATCCAATGACATGCCACTCCTTGGGGCTGCAGAGGTGGAGGCATGTCTAGTAGAGTAGGCACAAAACAGAGTGATGTCCACTCCCGCTTCCGTAAGTGTTGCTTTCACTCAACGACTCAGCTCGCTCGCCCATGTGGTTTTTTGTAGGTCAAAAACAAGTTGTCGCAGCCCATGGGTCTTATAGGGTCAGTCAGGGTTAAGTAATAAATACACACAGTCTTAGGTTTTCTTCAACTAAGGGCAAATTCAAAAAGCATTGTTTCCATCCAGGCCAGGAGCTTTTATTTGGTCTGGAATTAGGATTTTTACTCCCAAGTCTAGGAAATTGATATTACCGCGCTTTATTTATTTATTGTCCCTCTCTTGTTCTGGGCACTCAATAGGCTTTCGCCCAATTACAAAGTAACCCGCATAATGCTTTTAATTTTTATCAATGGGATGGTTTGGATTCTTTCACCTGTTGCAAAGGCTAGCAAAGTAACCGGTTGTTTTAGGTTGTCATCAGGGGTGCTTCCCAAAAACTAGAGCACCTATTGGGGGTCCCATGTAGCGTCATATCTAGGCCTTTGTGGTGTAATTGTAGAGAACCTCTCAAAAATCTTTTGAGGTTAGGATCTGAACCCATGTCCCCTGAAGTGATTAAAGGTAAAGCTGCTCTGAGGGAATTGAAGGATTCATATTTATTTCTTGTGGTTTCCAGGTTTTGTAAGAAGGATATTATTTTTACTACTTCGCCTTTGTATGGACAGTTTTAGTGAGTTTTAGTGTTGTGTTGTAAGGTAAGGGTAAGGTTTGTTAATAATGGGTGGTGGTGTCCGCCGAAAGGACAGTGCAAAAGATCACGCCTAGGTCTTGAGAGGTTTGCCTACAGTCAAGTGTACAAGGAGTGAGTACCAGGGCTGAGCTTGCCAAAAAGGGGCTACCCAGGATCTCTGTTGCCTTGTCCTGTATAATCTTTTGCAGTACTCTAAGTACTAAAGAAAAGGAGGCATAAAAGAAATGTGATGACCAATTTACAGTAAAGGCTTCTACTGCATCTGATCTCGGGTCTCAAAACCAAGAAACTTATTTCCTACATTGGTGGTTACTTCGTGAACCAAACAGATCAATGAATGAGACGATGCGATTGGACGCATCTCTATTCTGCGTCCATTAGCAGCATTAAACAGGAATCCTTTCTAAGCTCTTGGCAAATTTTATTTTTTCCGCAAGGTCATCTCCAAACAGAAAAATCGATGGTGGACAATTTTCCACTTGTTCTTTGACCTTGTTGTTTAGGGAGGTACCAGACATGAGATCCATTGTGAGCAAGGTTATTCTTGTCGAGAATTTCGGAAACGTCTGGCTTATTTATTGGAGGTAGCAAATATGTTAGATTTACCGGGAAAGATATTTATGCAAGAGGCTGTTGCTGCATCCTTTTGTAGGCTGTGTCTTAGAATATATCCCCAATGGGAAGCTAAAGAGTCTGCTCTTCTCTGGGTCGTCGGCGAGGATTTTTAAACCTCTTGAGGTAACGTTTAATCACTATGTATAATTAAGGTGTCGGTTAGCTCAATAGATCTTTATTTCCATTCGCAGAATCGTTACGCGGGCGTGGAATAGAGGGCGACCGGTTATAACTCCAGCCCTGTACGCTTCAGAGAGCCGTTGTATTGGCGATCAAGATACTGTGGCACGGCGCGTGTGGCGCCTGTGAGTACGACTTTTGCCCCTGATAATCGGGGTCGGCGGTTTTACTGTAGTGCGTAATAAAACTGCAGTTTGATCTTTGTAAATAAGTAAGGTCGTGAGGAGATCACCTGATCAATTATGCCTCTTGTGTGTCAAATACGATTATGGCTTCCTATGATGTCCTTCATGGTAACAGCCTCTTTAGTCTCTTTACAGAACTAAATAAATGGTTAACAGCTCTACAATTTACAGTGTCTATCTAGCTAGTGTAGTATTATCTTTGCCAGTGCTATTTATACTTCATTCCAAGTTGAGATTATTCAAAACGAAAGCGTATTTGTATAAACACGTGGTCGTACCAAATTAATATTCCTTGTTACCTACACCATGCAAAATTACGAACTTATTATTGTTATTGTGTCTGTTAATGCGATATCCCAATAAGGCGGCCAACTTTCTAAAATAGCAGTGGGGGACAAAATCGGGTTTCAAGTCTTATCCCTAACATTTGAAAAGAAACACATAATCATTTATACAACAGAAAAAAATTATTTTATATAATTTATATATATAAAAAATAAAAAGTTTCCAGATCGCTTAAAAAATAATGCTATAGCCCAGCGTAGTGTATAGGTGAACATTAAAATATGTGGGTTAATGCGTTGACGGTCAATTACTATCCATTAACTATCAACATTGGATATGCTGATTAAAGCTAACGCAATGAAAAGCAAAGTTATATACATGAACATTATGCAGGTCAGTCGTCAGTCACCAATAGCGCTTTGAATAAAATTAATTGCAACGCGACGCGACGGGGCAACGGCTTACGCAATGCATGTCAATTGGTTGGAATACGAGCGCAAACCGTGGTAAAATACGGGTTGGCATAAGAAGGCTTTGCTTTGCCTCGCTCATTGGCGCTGCCTCGTTTAGATGGTTTAGGGTTTAGACCAGTGTTTCTCAAACTGGGGGGCGCGCCCCTCTGAAGGGGCGCACGGCGTTGTTAAGGGAGGTGCGAGATCCCTGATGTGTTTGAGGCAAATATTTACCTTTAAAATATTTCTATTATGTATTTTTATGTACAATTATACTTGACCAATTCTTACACCAATAAGAAGGTATCTATAGTTCGTTAAATTCCCCTTTTTATGCTGATGAAAGCATGGGTGTTGCATAATGTTGCCAGTGTGCGATGTATGATGATGCTAATGTGCTATAAAAGAAGAGATCTCGAATGAACTAAAAACGACCTCAAAAGCCAGTGATGTTATGGATGCAATATTCGACTTGATTGAAAAACATAATATTTTATGGGCACTAACAACTTTTTTAGCACCATCAGAAAGTGTACCAAGCTTTTGTTAAAATTATTTTTTGATACCTTTGAAAATAAATGGACGCCATCGTATTCTCGAAAATGACATTTTTCGTTTTTTTTTGGTCATAACTTCGCTATTTGGAGAGGAGGGGGGGGGGGGGGCGTGAGTAATTTTAGTTTTATGAAAGGGGGCGCCATGGAAATAAGTTTGAGAACCACTGGTGGTTTAGACTATTACAAAAGCGAAAAGTGGGACATATTTATTAATTTTTAGAATGTATCCTGCTGAATACGGGACGGTTGACCGCCTTATGTGCCAATATTCAACAATGTTGGGTTGTAGCAGCATTCTGTACATAAAAATTAACATTTACATTAACAATTACACAAAGAAATTAGTTAATAATAAGCATTGTCACATATACTACAGAACAAAAAGGAAGCAATTATTTGAAAGTTTGTTTTCTCGCCTCAATCAAATTTAGTTTTTATGACATTTGGTTTACACACTTATTTAGGTTGCAGCTCAAAACTGTCGAAAACGAAAATTAGACCAAATCCTGAGTTTAGCCGATGAGGTGAAGGACATTCGCGATCGCAAACTTCGCATGCTAAGCGAACAAGATTTCATTTTGGCCGAGCGTCAGAGAATTAAAGACAAATACCAGCAGCTTTACAGACACGTATTTCAGGTAAGCGCATCGTGCTACTCGGCGAAACACGAGGTTACCTGATCATTTTAGAATTTGCGGGATCCCGACGGCAACCCTTACTCGCCGTATCAATACAGTCTGCAAACATCGGCCGATGGGTCTATCTTGATCGTTCCGAAGGCGAACAACAGCTTACTAAATCCGGACAGAAAAGATCCGCCGCACCAACACAAGGAATGATTAGTTTTAATTTTTTATATGACTGAACACAAAAAGTATCTCTTTAAAATTATAATTTTAAGTAAAGATGCTGTCATAATTTCTCAGTTTTGACCCTGTGGTTGTCAAATTGTTTTCTAATTTATTTTTTGTATTATAGATATTTAGAGTAAATTTAATTATAGAAAAAGTGGTTAACAAGGTGGCTTAAAACTAAGTTAAAAGGTAAATATATTATTCTTTTAATGGTGAACTACCCAGTGAAATAGTGGATTGACGATTTTGACTAAAGGCTATACCTAATTACAAATTAATGTAGAAGTAAGTAGTCAAAAATTTGCATAGAATTTACTCATTCCCATTCGTGATGTGATTAATATAAACGCTTTTTAGTTATGGATCAAACATTTTAAAATAAAGTATCATTCGTGCTTCTAATCTCAAGGTTTTGACATTTTTGAAATGCAGTCTGTTAACATAGGCACCTGCATTTCAAAAATGGAACCACTTTGCGTTGTTGTAGCAATACGTTACTATTGTTTCAACAACTATATAATTATACCCTAAATGCCTAAATGAAGTGAACAACTTTCTTATGTGCTCGAATCTCTAAATGTCATCAGTTTCGTAAGATAAATAACTTCCTAATGTGCAAATAATCAAATAGTTGTTAGGGTTAATGTAACTAGTTTAGGGTTGAGTGGAAGAGCAATCATGAATATTACATTTACAACTGAACTCCGCCCATAGGCAATGCCTGTTAGAGAATTGTATATTTTTAACTTACCAAGCCTGTTGCGTAATAAAGTCTGATTATTAATATAGTAGAAATCCCACGATTATCATATGGAATGATGACAAATCAATTTTTACGAAAAACCACGCATAAATCTAATTATTGATAACGATAATTTTGATTTTTTATAATTTTATAATTGATGTTTAAGCGACAATTTCTAGTCAAATGGTTCTCATTGATCCCCTTTTTGGTATTTAGGGTATTAATTATATTGAAACTGTTTTGAGATCACATTTACCTTTGTATTATTTTGTATTCCAACATGCGTGGCTGCTAAGCGTTTGCACATGACTTTGTCTTACAAATGTGGTTTTTTCTAGAGATGTAGTATTGAATAGTCGGAACGCTTGTGGCCGTATATGTAACACAGTTGTTTGGTAAACAAAACAATACACAGGCATTACACAGGATTCCTCCTACACTGAAAATAAGGAGACAAAAAGTTTAAGTGTAATTGTCCTGTACATGTATGATGGTTTTAAAAGTACTTAGTAGTATAGCGCGACCATTGTTTTTGTTTTAGCAGCGATTTTTTGTTTTTGACATATTTAGGAACAACATCTAAGGAATCTATTTTTATAAGATACTAAACCAATTTCAGGTGATATTATGCCTTTTTTTCTTGTAAATAAATATAGTAGACGAGTGCTTGTGATTTGTTAATTCGTACTAGCATTTGGTGGTAGCATTTCATTTTATTCATTCAAACTAAACATTGGTGGTAAACTTCAGGTTCTTACAATAAAACTAAAATTTACATGTAATGTGAACTTTGATAAAGCTGGTACTTTTTTTTAATGGAAAATTCGTACTTGAATTAGCGTTAATATTTTTATATAAGTCGTAAGTTTTGTACATTGTATATTCTAGGCAGCTTCCTAACAGTGTGGAAGCGTTGGTTATTGTAGTGTATGTAGCTTTAAGTATTTCCTATTTCTTTATTATTATAGTTATATAAACTGAAATTTTGTGTTGTCATTTATACAATAAAAATTAGTGTGAAATCCCCCCCCCCAAGTTTGTCCCATCTGTCTCAATTCGCGATTCAGATTAACAGTGAGACCTCTGGTGGCAGCACATTGTAACCACTATTGGTGGGTGAAGATCGTCATTTTGTCTTACTTGCAATGGCCAAAAGTAATCAAGTTTGTAGTGCGCTAGGAATTGAATGAAAAATTGTGATCTTTATTGGTAATTAGAAAATTAAGTTAATTGCGGGTTCAAGCTAATTCAACACAGCCTGAGTTTTTAAGCAAAAGGGCTTTCAGGTAGGATAGGTTTAAGGGGTTACATTTTCAAGTCTCAAGAATGGCAGGGTAAATTCAATTCCACTTAAAAACCTGCTAGAATAACCCAATGTTTACAAAGCGCTCCCACCAATACACGCCATTTTTTTATTACAAGGGCGCCTCTAGTGTTAATCTGAATAAGGTTTTTCTACAATGCCCCTAAGGCCAGGGTCAGACAAGCGTTTATTAAACGGACGTCGTAACAAGCGTTTATATGTCCGTTTCAGAACATACATAAAATCGTACATACAGCCACACACGAAACGCGCCTCAATGTTAACTGTCCGTTTAATGCGTTGTAGTGCTACATTTGACTTGATGCACAGTGACGAATTAGTCGCGCGTTTGTTATAGTAGAGGCATACGTTTACTTGATGATGGAATGGCAGATCTCATATTGGCGTTTTGACGGATTATTGAATCCTTCATGTTAGTTAGTTCATTAAAATATTAGGACATCCGAAAGTAATTAAAGAAGTGCACAGGATCTTGTCGTAAGAGAGGGTACAGGGTATAATAGTAGCCGTGTGAAAGTCTTGCACTATTTATAGGATGCATCCACCATTTACGTTTTTTAATACGTTTTTTTAAATTAATTTCAAAGACAAATACAAAACTATGGTAACATCTAACTCGTCATCCAGGTTGATAGTTTGTTGTAACCATTAAAGCTGTAACGTTTGCAACTGAGCGCTCGTGTGATAATGCAAAACACAGCGTTTAAAATTACATGCGTCGCGACGTCCGTTTAATAAACGCTCATCTGACCCTGGTCTAAGCTGTATATAATTTTGGCCTGATTCTTACAAGTCGATCTGCTTGGTTGGGGTTTATACTTCGTCCATATTTTTTTATCTGTCCTGTAATGTGTGTGACATCTTGTCAGCGTACATTTTTATTTAAATATGATTCCTAATGGCTATATACATTACATTTTGTTACTTGCAAGCAACAAAACACTCCTTTTACAGATTATGAGGATTGAACGCAAACGTTTACTGGTCACTGGATCAGTTTAACATTTCTCTTCTGGAACTTTCAGAACACATGGACAGTAGCTAACTCCTAGCGGACTCGACTGTGTAGTTTGCATACGTGTATTGTATGAAACGTTGCGCCACTAAAAATTGTGCCGACTTGCAATTTTCGATTGCGCAACTGTTTGATTGCGTCAGTGACTAATGCGCGCGCAACTGGTTTGTGTCACACGTGACTTAACCAGACAGTCGCAACTGTTCTACTTTTTCTTACCTAAAGCATTGCATATCCATCTTAATATACAATGCTTATAGTCACTACGAGTTCATCAAAATCGACCACACTCATCCGGTAGTGTAGGAAAAATTTTGCAAGAGCAAAAGGAATTACAAAAAACGATCATTTTATTAATGTCAAAAAAATGTAGTATTCATTTTTTCCTCGCGTAAACAAATCAATTGTTGGCAACATTAAACAATTGTAAATGAATAAACAATGATGAAATGTTAATGAAGTACACAGCAACCAATTATAAATGCTAAAGTTTATCAGTTTATGTGTTTTGTAAATCTTGTATTGCCTGAATGCATTGAATAAAAATCTGCTGAATGTAACATTAAAAAACAAAACTACGGTAGGCGCCAAATTAAAAAAAAATTATCTGACATCTGTCGTGAATATAGTTCAGTTCTACCTCTTAATGATAAATGCAGGCATTGTTTATTATAAATTATATAAACAATGATGCAGGGCAGTTAATTATTATCATCAAAATTCACACAGATGTCGTCACCCTATGACAGAAAACTGCACTAACGTACTAGTAATCCCTTGCACTTAATAACTTCAGATAGAACTCGATTCAGCAAACTAACGTTAGGTGTCAGAACAATATATTTTTTAAAATTTCAGGACTAGCAGAAAAACCGAAACTTACGAAGCGGAAGCGGATGGCTACCACCAATTGATACGCTGAACAATAAGCTGAGAATATGAAGACTGAAACGTCGACCATTATAACGCGAGTTACTACGAGTCGAGGGCGGATGGAGCCAGAAGAGTCGAGGTCTGGAAGCCGTGAGACCAAAGAGTACTATGGATACTCATTGGTGAGACTACTAACCCAATTCGGAAACAAAGACTGCGTCGCTGAGGATCAAAGCCAACAATATAGACAAGACAAAAAAACAACTGCTACACCAGGTGGACCGGATGTTGTGCGTAACCGAATGCATTCTGGTACTTGTTAAGCGAAGGGGTTAGAATTTTGAACCGATCGCACTGACCCCACCATGGGATGCACCTTGTCGTGGTGGTGGGGCTTAGTAGTCACAATTTTCTGTGGCGAAGCTAAGCATCCCAGGCGAGTGATTGCTAGACTCCATGGCTTTAACCGATAAAGTCTGATCCGTGTTACCCGATTCCAGCAAATCTAGTTCAAAGGATGCCGTTTCATTCAAATGCTTCATGGAGCAGATAACGGTTCTCGACGTTTGCTCATTAAACGTAATATAGGAAACTATATTAACATGAGTAGCACATTTTTTACTCCTGAGGCGTGCGGTAGACGACATTTGGACAACTTCTGGTTCCAGACTTCTCTGGTAAAAGGTTGGTTGCCACTTGACGATACAGGAGTATTCAGCGTTGTAGCAGGCCCCAGGGACTGACCACCCCTGCCCACTTAATAACTTTTGATTGAGAAGTGTGATCGAAAAAGTACGAATTGTTTTGGATTCTACGCACCAAAATTAATAAGAAAAAGTGTTTTCCCGAGAAATTTTGGTGCAGTCGATTTTTGGAAAAAAGGAAGGTTATACACTGCCTTTTTTTTTGCCCCGAAAAAAAATTGTCTCAGATCTATCCGGAAAAAAATTTTTCTTATAGGACGTGCCCTGTAGAATCCATAATTTCAAACAGTTCCAAGATTGGGCTACTAGTTCAAAAGTTATAGCCCTTTGACTTTTTTTTCGAAATTGGTTTATAGTCTATAACCTTTGATTGAGAGGTCTGATCGAAAAAGTACGAATTGTTTTGGATTCTACGCACCAAAATTAATAAGAAACAGTGTTTTCCCGAGAAATTTTGGTGTAGTCGATTTTTGGTAAAAAAAGAAGGTTATACACTGCCTTTTTTTGAGCCCCGAAGAAAAAATTGTCTCAGATCGACCTGGAAAAAAAATTTTCTTATAGAATGTGGTCTGTAGAATCCATAATTTCAAACAGTTCCAAGATTGGGCTACTAGTTCAAAAGTTACAGCCCTTTGAATTTTCTTTCGAAATTGGTTTCTAGTCTATAACTTTTGATTGAGAAGTCTGATCGAAAAAGTACGAATTGTTTTGGATTCTACGCACCAAAATTAATAAGAAAAAGTGTTTTCCCGAGAAATTTTGGTGTAGTCGATTTTTGGTAAAAAAGGAAGGTTATACACTGCCTTTTTTTGAGCCCTGAAAAAAAAAATGTCTCAGATCGTCCCGGAAAAAAAATGTTCTTATAGAATGTGGCCTGTAGAATCCATAATTTCAAACAGTTCCAAGATTGGGCTACTAGTTCAAAAGTTACAGCCCTTTGAATTTTCATTCAAAATTGGTTTCTAGTCTATAACTTTTGATTGAGAAGTCTGATCGAAAAAGTACGAATTGTTTTGGATTCTACGCACCACAATTAATAAGAAAAAGTGTTTTCCTGAGAAATTTTGGTGCAGTCGATTTTTGTTAAAAAAGGAAGGTTATACACTGCCCTTTTTTGAGCCCCACAAAAAAAATTGTCTCAGATCGATCCGAAAAAAATTTTTCTTATAGAATGTGGCCTGTAGAATCCATAATTTCAAACAGTGCTAAGATTGGGATACTAGTTCAGACGTTACAGCCCTTTTAAATTTTCTTTCGAAATTGGTTTCTAGTCCATAACTTTTGATTGAGGAGTCTGATCGAAAAAGGATGAATTGTTTTGGATTCTACGCACCAAAATTAATAAAAAAAATTGTTTTCCCGAGAAATTTTGGAGTAGTCGATTTTTGCTAAAAAAAGGAAGGAAGGTTTCAAATACTATAATACTTCTCAAAGTATTCAAATACCTTGCGAAGTATTCGAATACTTTACGAAGTATCCAAATACTTTGCGAAGTATTCGAATACTAAATATTTGTGAAAGTATTTGAGTTACAAATACAAATACTGCTTCCATAAAAGTATTTAATTACAAAGTATTTGAATACTTTAAAGTATTTGAATACTTTAAAGGATTTGAATACTTTAAAGGATTTGAATACTAAAAAGTATTTACAAAATCGAATACTGCCCAGCTCTGCTGACAACTTATTTAAATATATACTAAATGAACTAGAATCTGCATACTTCTACTAAATTGTTCATCATCTTTC